CACGTGTATTACTTTTTGTTTTATAGTCCTGTCTAATCTTTGTCTGAGGAGTGGACTTCGGGAATGGTTTCGGTTCTGGGTAAACAGAGTGTCTGGGGGGGGCCATCATTTCAGGGGTTCCTCCAGTCTCTGTCAGACCATTAAGCCTGGTCTTTTTATGTGAATTTGAATTCTGTTCTACATTTTTCTCCTACTCTGTCTGGGACTGTCTGTTGTGTTCCTTGTCAGGGCGATCATTGGTGGTAGCTGGGCACCATCCTGTTCTGGTCCCAGGCTGGTGGAATCTCTGGTTCATTTGGTCCTTTAGTCCTTTGGGCTAGTATTTTCCTTGTATCTTTAGTTTTCTTCATTCTCCTTTGCTCCAAGTGGGATGGGACCAATAGATGTATCTTAGATGGCTGCTCACAAGCTTTTAAGACCCTAGACACTACTCACCAAAATGGGATCTAGAACATTTTCTTTATAAACTGTTATGCCAATTGACCTAGATGTCCCCGAATGGTCCCCAGGCCCCAGCCCGAGCTATTCTGTCCCTTAAAGTGTTTGGATGTTGTCAGGAAACTTCTTAGCTTTTGTTTTGGTCCAGTTGTGCCAACTTCCCCTGTACTGTATGTTGTCCTTCCCTTCACCAAAGTTGACTCTTATGTCTACTATCTAGATTTCCCCTCCCTCTTCTTCCCCATCCTTGTAACCATCGAAGAATGCTTTCTTCTGTCTTTAAACCTTTTATAGAGTTCTTATAATAGTGGTCTCATACAATATTTGTCCTTTTGTGACTGACTTATTTCACTCAGCATAATGCCCTCCAGATTCATCCATGCTGAGATGTTTCGCAGATTCATCATTGTTCTTTACTGTTGCATAGTATTCCATTGTGTGTATGTACAATAATTTATTTATCCGTTAACGGGCATTTAGGTTGTTTTCATCTTTTTGCTATTGTGAATAGTGCTGCAATGAACAGGTGTATGCGTATATCTATTCGTGTGATGGCTCTTGTTTCTCTCAGGTATATTCCTAGGAGTGGGAATGCTGGATCGTATGGTGTTTCTATTTCTCGCTTTTTAAGGAAGCACCATATTGTTTTCCAAAGTGGTTGTACTGTTTTACATTCCTACCTGCAATCTCCCCACAACCTCTCCAACATTTGTTATTTTGTGTTTTTTGGATTAGTGCCAGTCTTGTTGGGGTGAGATATTATCTCATTGTAGTTTTGATTTCCATTTCTCTAACGGCTAATGATTGCGAGCATTTCCTCATGTGTCTGTTAGCCACCAGAATGTCTTCTTTGGTGAAGTGTCTGTTCATATCCTTTGCCCATTTTTTAATTGGATTATTTGTCTTTTTGTTGTTGAGGTTTTACAGTGTCTTGTAGATTTTAGAGATTAGACCCTTATCGGATATGTCATAATGTAAACTCTTAATAGAAATATTTTTAGATTTACTAAACCATTTTATTCTTCAACAAAACAACGAGGTATTATTCCTCTTTTGCAGTGCGAGTAAAAATACTTTCTCTAAAATATACTCTAAATTCACCACCCAGCCAAAAGAATAAAACAGATTAATAGAGAAAAGATATTAGCATAAGCAAATTATCATATAACTCTATTAGCAATTGATAGGGACCTTTGTGATTGTTGTGTGCTGTTGAGTCAATTCTGACTCATAGGGACCCTATAGGACAGCGTACAACTGCCCCATAGGGTTTCCTAGGCTTAATCTTCATGGGAAAGGAGCCCTGGTGCCAAAGTGGTTAAGCATTTGGCTGCTAACCGAAAGGTCTACAGTTTGAACCAACTAGCCACTCCTTGGGATAAAGATGTGGCAGTCTGCTTCTGTAAAGATTTACAGGCTGGGAAACCCTGTTGGGCAGTTCTACAGGGTCACTATGAGTCAGAATCTTACTTGACTGCCACAGGTTTGGTTTTTTGTTTTTTGTTTTTTTTTTAATCTTTATGGGAGCAGATCACCAGGTCTTTTTTTCTCGAGGAAGTGCTTGTGGGATTGAACTGCGGACCTTTCGGTTAGCAGCTGAGCACTTAACCATTGTGCCACAAGGGCTCCTTACCTTTGTGATTATGTGAGTTTTCAAATTTTTCACCTTGGTGAATATAAACATCTAGTGTTAATAAAGCTTGATGAACCAACTTAAACAATTAAGAGTGATTCAGAAATGACTGGCTTTTCAGCTTTGCAAAAGTTATTTTTTCATCTCTGTTAGTGTGTAAGCATACATAAAATTTTTAAATTACATGCATTTGGAGCCTACTTGCCCCAGACTTAGAATTTTAACCATATAAAAATCAAATGGCAAATCTGTATGCAGTATGGGTATCACATTTGTCCTGTACTACATTTTAGCAAACCCTTATTGACATGTATTAGCAGTAATCATCCTTTTTATCCATTGAATATATGTAGGTATTAATTCCCCAAAGACTTCCCTCCCACCAGCCTGTTCCACCTACTATTTTCTGCTAGTGTTTCATTATCCCCAGGCTACCTACTCTGCTTGCCAGGGTCTGCCTCAGGGCCATTCCCACCATACACCCCCTCTTTTTTTGCAGGGGGGAGGGGTACTAACTCATTTGGATCCTCTCCTGAAATTATAAACGTAGTTTCCTCTTCCCAACTTAATTTTTAGTTTTTCTTGATTCTGAGTAAGAGTTAACCCCAATCCTGGGTCAGGCTACCTGGAATGGTACACACTTGTTGCCGTGGAGCCAGCCCATATCAAAGAACAGAAATTAGGGATCACGAGGGGTTGTCCATGGGGTCGCCATAAGTCAGGGGCTGACTTGATGGCAGCTAACAGCATCATATGTATTATGACAATTTTTGATACTCTTTGCATAATAAAAAATTAGCTAAACTTGAACTTTTGGAAGTTACAGCCACAGAGTAAGCCATTTTTAAAGAATATGACTGGTAACCATATTGATAAGCTATTGTCATACCATACACATTATGTGGTGTGTGTGTGTCCATCCAAGTACCTACCTCCTAGCTTAAGAAATAGCATATTATCAGTACTTTAGAAGCCCTGTCTGTGTCCCTTTCTAATTGCTTCCTCTCCTTCCCCTGCTTTGTTGTTAGCTGCCATCAAGACTCCCTTACACATAACAAATCCACACACAACAGAACGAAACTTGTGATCCATAGGGTTTCCATTGGCTGATTTTTGGAAGCAGATCACCAGATCTTTCTTCCTAGTCCATTTTAGTCTGAAGATCCTGTTCAGCATCATAAAAAAAAAAAAAATCCCGTTGCTGTTGAGTCGATCCTGACTCCTAGCGACCCCGTAGCGTTTCTGAGGCTATAAATCTCTACAGAAGCAGACTACCACATCTTTCTCCCTAGTAGCCGCTGGTGGCTTTGAACCACTGACCTTTTGGTTGGCAGTTGATCACTTTAACCACGGCACCAAGAATTCTACCACTGAACCACCAATGTCCCTGCTCTCCTACTTAGGTAATCATTACCCTGTATTATGTGTTAATGACTCCATTGCCTTTCTTTATAGTTTATCACCTACATATGTATCCCTGAAAAATAAGTCTTGCTTAGGGGGCTTAGGGTGACTGCACACTGATGGTGATAAAACAATTTGGAAAGGGGTAGGGAGAATGGTTATACAATTTGAAGAATGTAAACAATGTCACTGAATTGTACACGTAGAATTTGTTGAAATGATGTATCCTTTGGTGTGTATATTTTCACAAAAAAATTAAATTAAAAAAATTTGAAGCTCTGGGTCACCTGAGTTTTGCAGATACCCTCAAGGAAATCCTGGCTTTGGAGCTTACTTCCCTCCCAGGGAGTCTCACTCTCGTTTCTTTTATGGCCTCTGTAAAACCTTACATTCTTTTCTTGCCAGCTCAGTGATTTATTTTGAAATACTTTTAAAAAAATAATTTATTCAGCATTTTAATTGTTTGCACAGGAAGGATTGTATATCATACTGGCAACAAGGGAATTCATTGTACTTCTTCTCTATTGTTTTTGTTTTCAGTAATTTAAACTTTAAAAAGGCAGGGGGATATACTGGGCTTTTATTTTTCCTAAAGAACTAATCATCAGACATGTATAACAATAAATCTCTATGTTTATCTCAACAGATACACTCCCACACACACATACCTGCATAGAAGTGGATCTAAAACCAAACCAAACCCGTTGCTGTAGAGTCAATTCCAACTCATAGCGACCTTTAGGACAGAGTAGAACTGCCCCATGGGGCTTCCAAGGAGCAGCTGGTGGATTTGAACTGCTGGCCTTTTGGTTAGCAGCCAAGCTGTTAACCATCAGGGCTCCAGAAATGGGTGTAGCAGGTATTAGTTGTGAGTATTTCTGAGTGTTTTTTGTTAGTTGCTTGATTTTATTTTCCATAATGAGGATATATTGTTTTTGTAATAAAAGCAAACAATACAATTCTGATGGAAAAAATATATTGTGGATAAAATATATTTGAACCAACAACACACAGCATATAAACAGATAACTATCGTAATACCTCTTGCATATGGTGATTTAATTGATTAAGATGTTTGGGGTATAGAAATTTTCTGGACAAACTGAAGCCATGTCCCTCTCAGCACTAGATTCTACTTTCTTTCAGCCGTTTTAGTAGGCACTCTCTAATATACATTGGTCGCCATGAGTCAGAATCGACTCAATGGCAGTGGGTTTGGTTTTGGTACTATACACTGGACATTTCCCCACCTTGTTCTTGCAGCCCTCAGAGGCTTGCAGCCTGTTCTGATGGACTACATGGCCCTATACTGAGTAGCCCCAGATTACTAAGTAATGTAGTAAATTCATTTTCTATGCATTAAAAGCATAAAATATGTTTATAATAGTTATTTTCTTTCTCCATACCCTCTCACTATGGTAGATTTTCTTAAAATTCCTTAAATTGGCCTCTTAATAGAGAAGTCAGGTAGAACAGTCACTTGATAAAATAATGCATATTTTTAAAATATTATCTTCTTTTTAAGGACAAGGAACATCCAAGATACTTGATCCCAGAGCTTTGCAAACAGTTTTACCATCTCGGCTGGGTCACTGGGACTGGAGGAGGAATTAGCTTGAAACACGGGTAAGTTTCCAGCTGACTTTGTTTCTGAGAATTCTCCATATGAGTAGACCATGGGGAGCCTAACATGTATCATGTCCCAAGAATAACCGATGATCAGTTTTATGTGATACTCAAGTATTTAGTTTCTAAAGGGAAAAATGAATATTTGCATAACTGAATGAAACAAGCATGCAAAAGTTGCAGATATAATACCAAAAGATTTAAGAACCACTATTTCTAATCAGAATAACTCAGTCCTCAGTCTTTCGAGTACCCAAGTTAAATAACATGCTGCTAAATATGTTCATATGTTTGGAATTATTAAAGGATCCCCTCTAGGTAGACAAGATTTGTTTCAAAGGTTCAGATACATATTTAATATGCATATTTAAATATAGATTTGTTGTTGTTAGTTGCTGTCAAGTCGATTCCGACTCATGGCTACCCCATGTGTGCAGAGTAGAACTATTCCATAGGGTTTTGAAGTCTGACCTTTTAGAAGCAGATTGCCAGACCTGTCTTCCAAGGCGCCCCTGAGTGAGTTCAAACTACTAACCTTTCAGCTAGTAGTCAAGTGCTTAATTGTTTGTGTCATCCAAGGACTCCTAAATATAGATTCCAAACCCATTGCTGTCGAGTCAATTCCAACTCATAGGGACCTAATCGGACAGAGTAGAACTGCCCAGAGGGTTTCCAGGAAGTGGCTGGTGTATTTGAACTGCCGACCTTTTGGTTAGCAGCCAAACTCTTAATGACTGTGCCACCAGAGCTCCTAAGTATAGATCACTAACCATTAAACATCCTTAAAATTATGTTTATTGAGTCAAAAGAAAGGCAGTGTGTCTTTCCAATCAGGACATGTATCATTATTAATGGACATAGCAGCTGTTGGTCTATAGTTCTCTGAGGCCAAAACAAGAGGTACTGGACTTAAATCATAACAGAAAGAATGAATAGTATGTAAGTGTTCATTAGATTTAATCAGTGTCTTCCAAAAAGATGAAGAAATAAGTAACTTACTAGCAATGAAAATATTGGCACATTAATAAAAGTTGTGGAATCTCATTCTTTCAGGTTTTCTGGAAGAGGATTAATGTTTTTCCTCCTGAAATATTTTAGGAATATTATTGTCTAGAGGCTGAGTGTTAAACGGGGTGACTGCTGATTTATTTCCTTAATTCTGATTCACTCTTTCACAAAATTGGATTACTAAAATATTTATATGCTATTGAGTGTATATAGTAATGCCCCCCAAGGAAGCTGTGTTTGCATGGTAAGGAATGGAATGTATAATCAGAATATTTTGAACAAATGGGATTTTATGGCATACCATGAGATGATGCCATTGTAATTTCATCTGGTTCAAATTACCACGTAACTCAGACAATATTAATTGAACAGTGGGAGATGACAAGGAGGGCCTTAGTCAACAGCTAGCACAGTTGTGGATGTAGGAATGCACGCAGAGTCTAGTAAGGTCACCTTCCACATGTTACATCAGTAAATCCATCCCTGCCTCCTGTTTTACCATCAATCTAGTGCTCATGTGTCATTTCAGTATCGTGCAGTCTTTCAGATCATTTTGCCAAACTTTCTAGTTGGTCTGTATACAGCAAAGCCCTGTGATAAGGGTATTTGTTGTTGTTGCTGCTGCTGCGGCCATTTCATTTATCCATTTAGGAGTTGAGTCCCAATAATTCTAAGTGATCTGATTTCCCAGCAGTATTATTTATATTAAATCATTATCTTAAATGCTACCTTTAGTTAATGACTTTTTATTTGCAAGTGCTATAACAGTTTGTTTATATACAACATAGAGCTTTCTACCAAACTAAGCTAAGATAAAACCATTTCTAACTGGCTCTTGGGGGGAAAAAAAACAGTAAAGTAAAAAATAGGAGAATGCAGATAAAGGGTCATTGAAAATCTCGAGGGAATTTTTTTGATCAAAAAGATGTGAAAAACTATGTTCTTTCTAGCAGAATGTTACTAGTCCCTGCACTGTGATTGTGTGTGGCTACCATAAACCACTCACTGGAGCACCTTTTAAAATTCAATGGCTTTTATAGCATTAAAATCAATTTATGGGAAAATTGCATCATATATGTAAAATGCTTTTTCCTTAGTCAGACTCTTAATGGGCCACCGGTGGCAAGAGCCAGTTTTATGGCACTGCACTTGGAATCTTATCAAATGGGCATTTTGTGGTAAAATCTTTAATTTTTCTCCTGATATTTAAGTGACTTCATAAGCCCACGTGACTAGTATCAGCAATATTATCCACGTGCTGTTAGTGGAAGTGTGGTTTTCTTTGTTTGATGCTTAAAAAAAAAAAAAAAAACCAGACCTGTTGCCATCGAGTCAATTCCAGACCACAGCAACTCTACAGGACAGAATAGAACTGCCCCATTTGGTGTCTAAGCAGTGGCTGGTGGATTCGAACTACAGACTTTTCGTTAGCAGCCATAGCTCTTTTTTTTTTTAATTGAGCTTTAGGTGAAAGTTTACAGCTCAAGTTAATTTCTCGTTCAAAAATTTATACATACATTGTTTTGTGACATTACTTGCAATCCTCACAATGTGACAGCACACTCCCCCTTTCCACTCCAGGTTCCCTGTGTCCATTCAACCAGTTCCTGTCCCTTCCTGCCTTCTCATCCTGCCTCAGGACAGGAGACACCCATTTGGTCTTGTGTATCTGATTGAACTAAGACGCACACTCCTTACGTGTGTTATTTTTTATTTTATAGTCCTATGTAATCTTTGTCTGAAGAGTGGGCTCCGGGAATGGTTTTAGTTCTGGGTTAACAGAGCGTCCGGGGCCATAGTTTCAGGGGTTCCTCCAGTCCCTGTCAGACAATGAAGTCTGGTCTTTTTACATGAATTTGAGTTCTGCTCCACACTTTTCTCCTGCTCCATTTGGAACTCTATGTTGTGTTACCTGTCAGGGCGGTCATTGGTCATATCTGGGCACCATCTAGTTCTGGTCTCAGGCCTATGGAGTCTCTGGTTTATGTGGCCCTTTCTGTCTCTTGGGCTAATATTTTCCTTGTGTCTTTGGTGTTCTTCATTCTCCTTTGTTCCAAGTGGCTTGGGACCAATGGATGCATCTTAGATGGCCGCTTGCAAGCATTTAAGACCCCAGATGCCACGTTCCAAAGTGGGATGCAGAACAGTTTCTTCATAAACTTTGTTATGCCAATTAACCTAGATGTCCCCTGAAACTGTGGTCCCCAGGCCCGAGCCCCAGCTACTCTGTCCCTCAGATTGTTTGGATGTGTTCAGGAAACTTCTTAGCCTTTGCTTTGGTCCAGTTGTGCCAACTTCCCCTGTATTGTGTGTTGTCCTTCCCTTCACCAAACATGATCCTTGTCTACTATCTAGTTAGTGAACTCCTCTCCCCCTCCCTCCCCACCCTCATAACCATCAAAGAAGGCTTTATTCTGTGTTTAAACCTTTTCTTGAGTTCTTATTATAGTGGTCTTATACAATATTTGGGCTTTTGTGACTAACATTTTACTCAGCATAATGCGCTCTGTCATGGATTGAATTGTGTCCCCCCAGAAATGCGTGTATCAATTTGGCTGGGCCCTGATTCCCAGTATTCTGTGATTTTCCTATATGTTGTAAATCCTGCCTCTATGATGTTAATGAGGGAGGATGGGTGGCAGTTGAGTTACTAAGGCAGGACTCAATCTACAAGATTGGATTGTGTCCTGAGGCAATCTCTTGAGATATAAAAGAGAGAAGTGAGCAGAGAGATAGGGGAACCTCATACTACCAAGAAAGCAGTGCCAGGAGCAGAGCATGTCCTTTGGACCTGGGGTCCCTGCGCAGAGAAGCTCCTAGTCTGGGGAAACACTGATGAGAAGAAGGCCGACAGAGAGAGAAAGCCTTCCCCTAGAGCTGATGCCCTGAATTTGGACTTATAGCCTACTTTACTGTGAGGAAATAAACTTCTCTTCATTAAAGCCATCCACTTGTGGTGTTTCTTTTATAGCAGCACTAGATGACTAAGACACCCTCCAAATTCTTCCATGTTGTGAGATGTTTCGCAGATTCATCATTGTTCTTTATCATTGCATAGTATTCCACTGTGTGTATATACCATAATTTGTTTATCCATTCGTCTGTTGATCTAGGAAACACCTAGGTTGTTTCCACCTTTTTGCTATCGTAAACAATGCTGCGATGAATATGGGTATGCATATGTCTATTTGTGTGACACCTCTTATTTCTCTAAGATATATTATTCTGAGGAGTGGGATTGCTGGATCGTATGGTACTTCTATTTCTAGCTTTTTAAGGAATCGCCAAATCATTTTCCAAAGTGGTTGTACCATTTTACATTCCCACTAGCAGTGCATAAGTGTTCCAGTCTCTCCACAACCTCTCTAACATTTATTAGTTTGTGTTTTTTGGGCTACTGCCAGCCTTCTTGGGGTGAGATGGAATCTCATTGTAGTTTTGATATGCATTTCTCTAATGGCTAAATGATCGTGAGGATTTCCTCATGGGTCTGCTAGCTGCCTGAATCTCTTTTTTGGTGAAGTGTCTGTTCATATCATTTGCCCATTTTTTAATTGGGTTATTTGTCTTTTTGTTGTTGAGATATTTCAGTATCTTGTGGATTTTAGAGATTAGACCCTTATTGGATATGTCATAGCCAAAAATTTTTTTTCCCAGTCTGTAGGTTTTCTTTTTACTGTTTTGATAAAGTCTTATGATGGGCATTAATGTGTAATTTTTAGGAGCTCCCAGTTATCTAGTTTCTCTTCTGGTGTTTGTGCATTGTTAGTTATGGTTTGTATACTGTTTATGCCATGTGTTAGGGCTCCTAGTGTTGTCTTCTATTTTTTCTTCTATGATCTTTCTCATTTTAGATTTTATGTTTTCATCTTTGATCCATTTTGAGTTAGTTTTTGTTCATGGTGTGAGGTATGCGTCTTGTTTCATTTTTTTTTGCACATGGATATCCAGTTATGCCAGCACTATTTGTTAAAGAGACTGTCTTTTCCCCA